ATATACCATTTTTATAATACATTTTTTAATAGATGTAAATACAATCAAATTTAAATACACTTTACATTGGCAAAATTAAAAACCACAGGCTTCCATCTCTGGGTTAACCAGGAAAGTAAGATAGGACAGTTATGAAAGATCTGCTAAAATCTGGTGATATAACATGCATTGTTTTGGTGCTTTGTGACAGAAGGTCCAGTTCACCAAATCTGCTTTGCAACAGGCTCCAGTCCTCATACGTATAGAAGAAAAAGATTTTTTTTTTCTTTCGAGTTTTCTGAATTCTGAAGTGACATTTTGATTCTCTATTGCCACCTCATGATAGATTTTTGTTTTGCACCATTGTAGCTATAGTAGAAGTGGTGGCCCTCACAAAGAAGTCACAGAACGTGGGCCACACAAAGGCATAAAGACATGTATGTGTGTGTGTGTAAATATATATAATTCTTACACAACTTTATATGACTAACATTCAATTAAGTATTTAAACTGTCTATTTTCAGGCTATTTACAACACACCCGGGAGCCTGACATTCAGAAAGTGCTGTATTGCTTTAATATCATTACTAAAAGTTGTCAAGATGTTTGTTACTGTATATGCTTTGCCTTGTTTTGCGGCTTGTGTGTGAACCATGCATATCTGTCCATTTCTCTGTCTAACAGTTACATCTTCAGACTGAGTTGTACACGCCTGGGCCAGTGGGCCATTGGTTATGTGACCAGTGATGGAAACATACTGCAAACCATTCCCCACAACAAACCACTGTTCCAGGCCCTCATCGATGGCTACAGGGAGGGCTTGTATGTATTCTACCACACACTAACTCCGACTCTCTCCCTTTCTAGCTCACTTTCCGTACAGAATGTTGTGCTAAACGTTCCGGTGTGAACGAGCTGTATACACATGAGAAATAATCAGCAGCGTCTTGGTCAATCACATTAGATTGGCATAGCCTCAGAACATGATGGAACTCCTCTGAAAGCCACTTCCTAGATGAAACAAAGTACTTTTTGTCTCAGCTAGGCAAGAGGATGTCTTTGCACGTGAAGGTTGCAAGTCCATCTATTTCAGTCATACGTAATAATCTGACAGGCTAACTTCGATTTAGTGCACACAGCATTGTTCTTCCCCCAGCTGTGGTTGTTCAAAAAGTCCACTGTAGCCGGATGTCATTTCAAATGTCATTGTGGTTATACCCAGGCTTGTAAACACTGGATTTATCTGCAGAAATGGCTTTAAGAGTAAGTATTTCTGCTCAGTTTTTGCCATATTTTATTTTTTTCATGCAGAAAGAGATATTACTAATTCTAAGTGATTACTGAGGCTCACAGTGACTTTTATTATTTAACATCTGCTCGTAACTGATATTTTGTGGCAGTCATGAATCAGGATGATTTAAAGTTAATTGAAGCTTTTAAAGTAGAACTATTATTATAAATACTCCTGTTACTACTTATAGTTAAACTAGTATACACTCATCAGCCACTACATTATATTCAGAGGTGTTTCTTCTTGTCCTCCCCAGTTACATAGATGAGAAGGTCAGAATTTTAGGAACACCTCTGAATATTATGTGGTCCAGTACAACACCTCAAACTATGACCTCAGTAATAAACATATAATTGAATGTATGCATTTATGAAAGTGTCACTAAAAACTGAAATATTTTGAGTTTAATAAACACAAGTGTTAAGGTGGAAGTGTGTTGTGGAAAAAATATCTTTTAAAGCTCAGTGGTGTACTTAAAGGGTGCTATTATAAAAACTGCCACCACAAAGTGTTGCAATGAATTGCATAAAATTGTATATGTGTACCTAATAAAGTGGCCAGTGAGTGTAATAAATTTTTTTCATCATTTTTATAGGTTAGTGTATCTGCACATTCATATGTCTAGAATGTCATATATAACGTATAATAATCACAACCCTTTAGTGCAGTTAATGAAATACATACTTGACATCATACCAGAGAGCTGGACGAACAAAATGTGACTTTTATGAGCAAATATCTTGCTGTGTATTTGTAACTGTTTGCTTGTTTTTTCCTCATTTGCAGCTACCTGTTCCCTGATGGTCGCAGTTACAACCCTGACCTCACTGGTTTATGTGAGCCAATGCCTCATGATCACATCAAAGTGACACAAGTACGTTTATGTGTTTCTGAAAACACTGTCATGGAATTTCTTAGCCTCACATAGGCAGAAGCTCAGTCTTCTTTATGACATTTAAGTGTGGAAAATGTTCACTGAGAACTGATCAGAGCTGATCAAATATGTGTCAGAGCACAAAATATACGCTTTATAAAAATGGCATGACTCACAGCCTCTCCAAACTCCCAGACCTTGAGAACAACTATTAAAAGAATAAATTCTGAAATGAAGCAGTTGCTGAGCTTTTTGCTAAGCTACAACCAATCAGGTGTATTGTTTACTGTATAGTGATGACTTATGTTTCACAGCCTGCTTTTAATGATGTCTGACTTAAGCAAATTTTTTTTGGCTTAAACCAATGATAGTGTGTGAAGAGAAAATTATATGCTGATGTTTTGTCGCTGGCAACGCTTGATATGATGATATTTTGAGAAAGAAACCACTTTCCTCCATTCTAACCACTGCAATACAGCATCTGTTCTCATTGCACGATTAACCCTCTACTTGTTTGTATGAATTAGCCATTGGGCATCAGTTGGGAACAAAGATCCAGCAGCAGTTCAATGGAACCCTGGCACCAGCACTGCACTCACTTAGACTTCTGGACCAGGGTATGACGTACCTGCATGTTCTGACCTGTTTCAGTCGGAGCATGTAAGTGCTTGTGTGCATATTTGACAAGAGCTCAGTAATGATGTAGGCTGGTTCTGCACATAACTGTAAGTGCACTGCTCAGTTTCATTGCATTTCACATCTTATCCTGACACTGAAAAGTCTGCTGAGGTCTTGAATGAAGTCTTATATGTGTGTGTGTGTGTGTGTGTGTGTGTGTGTGTGTGTGTGTGTGTGTGTGTGTGTGTGTGTGTGTGGAGAAAGACAGAGATAATTTAAGGTGAAGTAGTGATGTGAAGTCTTTGACACTATCATGGAGTTAGACATCGGTGGGAAGCTTATACTTGATGTGTCTGTAGGTTTTTGTGTGTGGTCTCATGCATAGTTTAGTCCAAGCATTGATGACTAACAGCAGTTTGCTCTTCCTGAACAGGAGCAGTATGAGCTGTACTGTGAAATGGGCTCCACCTTCCAGCTTTGTAAGATCTGTGCTGAGAATGACAAAGACATCAAGATCGAACCTTGCGGTCACCTTATGTGTACTTCCTGTCTTACGGCCTGGCAGGTAATGTAATGAACATTTGTGCATATACTCACTTCAAGATGCAATTTTTGAACAGAGGGGTACATCTGTGGTGTTGGTCGATTGCTGTTCTCAGCATATATGTGCAGGTAGATGGGGTTTTGGGGGTTAATGCCAGAATATGTAGACTACATTTTCATCATCAGAGTACATCTGTCTCTCTATCCAGCTTGGCAGAAAAACACCAAAACCTCACATGCAACATTTGCAAGCCTTATTTTTTAAATTTTATGCAGGAATTAATCTCATGTGAAAACTAATAAGCATTTGCATATAAGTTGTTAAAGACCACTGAAGAACAGAAGATGCTTGCGGCCTCCAGTGCAAGATGCATGGTAAAAACCCTGCCTCCCTCACTTCCTCCCTGTGTCCTTGTATCTGTCCTAATCAAATTTCCACATATCAATCAGTAACGGAAGAGTGTGCACACATTGTATTCCAGTGTTTCTGCGTGTGTTTCTCTGCTTCCTGCTCTGCTGTTTTTTTTCCCAACGCTCATCCCCACAGCGCACCGCCCTGCACCGCTGTGTTCATTATGTTTGCGCGCACATTTGTGAATCAGAAGCTGTGCCAGCTTTTTATTTTTGTGTTTATAATTAACTCCACCTAATGTGTCCTCTCCTCCCGCTCCATCTCTTGTCTTTTATGCCTTCCTCCTTTGCATGGGACTGTGTTGCAGTCGCAGAGAGATGTTTCTCCGGACATGTACAAATTCTGCACTGATCCTGATGTTATTGATCTCACACACACACACACACACTCACTCTGCACACCTGGGCACAACGCACTAGCTCACATATTAGACCTCATTTAATGACATTTTGAATCTTCTAACTGGTGTTGAATATGTGTGAAATTGTTCAGTCACCTTGAAATTGCTTGTCATTCTCTTTTTCACTTTTTTCAGTTAGAGAAACAGCAAAGCTTACATTAATTAGATTTTTGTGTGACGTGTATTATAGTAACATTTTTACATAATCAAAGCATCTCAGCACTGGTTTTTAAACATTGACAGTCCTAAATGTTTGACAGTGGAGTTTTTGCGTGGGAGGACATGGAAAATGATTCATTCAGAGGTGAGTGCAGGTTTTATGCTTGAATGTCAGTGCACTTTCTCAGTCAGTCAGCACTATAATAGTTTCCACCTATAACGAGCCCCTCATTTGCAGTTGGTGTCTAAAGAAGCAAGAATTAGACATATTTCATACCATTTAAATGTATTCATATTAAGGGTTTTTATAGTTAGGTAATCAAAGTGTCTTTTGATGAAAATACGAAAGTCTTCCCAGCAGCCTCTGTGATACCACAGTCAGGTGGTTCTCACAGGGCATCATCTTCAGTGGCATTTTTGAAGACTTTTTGGTAATTAGATATTGCACAAACCCTGAAATAAACTAAATGTAAAATTGAAATGATACCAAAATGATGTGGGTTATCTGTCCCCGTATAAATGGTCACAGTTATCACAGCAGCGAAACAATGAATCGTTACAGGGGCTTCTCAAAGGCTCCACTGCCGAACATCTAGTAGGTGTCTGAAAGCCAGATTATTTGTTTATGCAAGAATATCAAACTATAATACATGTACTGTAATATAAAAATAGTAATAATAAAATGAATGCAAGGTTTGCTGTTTTTCTCTAGCTTTGGTCTGTGGTCCGCAAGTTCTCATCACTGAGCAGCCTTTTGGAGCACACTCTAGCATTTTGGTTTGCTGTTTTGTTTCATGGCTACAAAGCTGGAAGGCTTTTTCTTTGGTAGGTTTACTCTCAGCATAGCCATAGGTTTAGTAAATGAGCACAGTCTTTCCAGAGCTCTGCAAACAGAAGGATTCAGCAGCAGCCACATTAACAGTGTTTGTCTATCATACTTCCTGTTATGACAGTGTGACCCCACCTCCTCCAAAACCTCAGTCAATGATTCAGTGACATATGTCAGTGTGTTTATATATATATATACGTATATTTACATGTATATGTGTGTGTGGGTGTGTACTTCAGTAATGAAGTATTTTTCTCGTATTAGAGAAATTATGAGTCAGAGAGAGAGGGAACCCTCCTACTCTGTGACAGTGAGTAACTGGTCTGTTCAGGTCACTGACTCAGTAGAGGTTCCCTGACTTTCCTCTTACTCTGTAAATTAGTCAGCTGGGATGGAACAAACATGCACTCCTCACTCACAGCTGGCTGGTGATCTGTGGGATTCCACATCCTGTTCTCTTTAATGGTGGTTTTTGATCTCTGCAGTGTCTCAAGGCACATGAGAGGCTTCCAGTGCCTTATCTATTTGTTTAATCCTAAATCATTGCAGTGAGGACTCAGAATGAGTCACAGGGGCTTTTCTGTGTCTTGTTTTTACCATGCTGTAGGTTTCATTAGTTGTATATGTATGGGTTTTACATCTTAATAATGATGTATCAAGAGTGTTAACAAGTAGCAATTAATTCTTTCCACAGTGTGTAAAATCAGCATTGTAGGGGGCAGTGCGTTCCATACAGAATTCATTTGCTGACTTTCAGGTCAAAAAACCTTTAGAGATAAGTCAGAACTGGTTTTTAACCCAACCTAAAATTTGATTGAAAGGTTTTTCAGTCAGTATATTTCTATTGGTGATAGATGATGATTATTATTATTAGATGATGGATAAACCAACAGAGAATAATCACCTCATGTAGTTCTCCTCAGTGTTTTAGTATCTTTAGCTCAGGATTTTGGTTTTGTCAGTGTGACAATAGACACGTATTTCATAACATACGTATGCACTGTATCATCCTTATCAATTGAAGATATGCAGTGCTGTTTTCATGGCTTGTTTTGCTGACCTCAAGTGGCCAAAAAATTCCTATTTGAAAATTTTACACGTTAGAGTTATATTAAAGAAGCATTTATTGGGTGTGGTATAATGACAGTATTTTTGACATGTAAGGACCTGTTTCATATTGAAATGTAGTCATTTAAATGCTGTTGAATCGGTGGTTTTATGTCAACTAGAATGTGCATTTCCTGAGCAAACTGCATGTGATTGCTGCAAACCTCTGCTGCTGAGTTAGTCAGGAGAACATTGCTAACCACTGAGCCATTCAGGTACTGCATTCACATTTTCTTGGGGCGATCAAACATTGGCCCAAAGGGCTTTTAACTTAAGCTTTTGACTTTATCAGTTGCAGCAAAAGTAGCAGGGCATAAAAGTGTATTGTATGCATAAACGTTATTCATTAATCACAAAAGAATCTGTAATTTGAAGAAAGGGGAAGGTGAAAAATGAGTTACAGCAGTGCTATACTGTACTTATCAATTAAGGCATTGATCTGTAACTTCTGAGGGTTAAATATTAATATTTTGAGAGAGAATCAGCTCAAAACAAGCAACCGTATCCTAAACATGCTCACTGTAGGTGCAAGCATGTAGTAATGTGTCAAAAACATACAGTAGATGGTACAGCGGTAGTGAAGCTGGAAGATTTTTCCCCTTCAACAGGACAGTTTGTCACTTCACTCATGTCTGTTGCTGATTAGTCTGGTTTCAGGTGCAGATTTATTTAGGTAGTCACATTTATAACATAAACATTGCACATAGTTTTTCTCATGGGATGCCAAGAAACTAACATGGCATTAACAAACAAATAAATACCACAACATTCAGGTGAAATGTTCAAGGTAAAATCAAAATGCTTAAATTAAAATCTCCTTGGAGGAAAGGATAAGTAACAGTAGCAGCCATCACAACCAGAGGGGCAGCTGCAACCATGCATACCACTATCTGAAATCCAGTATTATTTTCTTCAGGGTCTGTGGCCACCACACCATCTCCTCCCCCCTCTGGGCTTGCTTCCTTTGAACCTCCCACTCCTTCCCTGCTCCACCCACCGTAATTGGGATTCAGTTTCAAAGATGCTGTTGATGCATACCCTGCTAAGTCCTCAACCATATGGCTTCCACAAATGTAACTTTGTTCTCTGTAAACATTGTCTGCCTTTGATTGTGGCCATTGAGTCAGTGGAGACAGATGCACTGAAACCCAAAACTTCCTTTATTGTCTTATTTATGACCTTTGTTTGACAGGGGCTGTTTTTTGTAATATGCACATGTGGCCAGTGAATGTTGTAAAGTTGCAAAACAGTTTTCCCAGGAGATGATCTAAGGAAGAATGTATCCAGTCAACTTTGACAGAGGTCCTTCATGAAAATGAGGAAGAGAGACTTCAATATAATGTAGTAGTGAGGCACAAAACCTTAACCATGTGGATTCCAGCTGTGTGAAGGAACAGTCTCTCTCCTCAACAGTCAAAGGGGTTCTTGATATTTCCAAAAACAGTATAACAAGGAAACTATTCTCTGGGTTACTAATGTCACCACCGCACCTGTGTCTGAGCATGAAAATCCTGTTTTCCTCTATCTGTTCCAGGAATCAGATGGTCAGGGTTGTCCATTCTGTCGCTGTGAGATCAAAGGAACAGAGCCCATCATTGTCGATCCCTTTGACCCACGAAATGAGGGCACCAAGTGCTTCTTCCTGGACCAGCATAGCTGCCACATGCTGGAGCTGGATGATGAGGAAGACCGAGAAGACTGTCTGGTCATGAATGGCCTGGCCAGTATCAGGAAGGTAATGTAAAAAGTTGATCAGCTGATGGGTAGGTGAAAGCTTAAGATAGGATAAGATGAACCTGTGTTAGTCCCGGAATGGGGAAATTTGCGATATTACAGCAGCAAAGGGATGATAAACCATTGTAGCTATACTAATAAATAATAACCGCAGCAGGAAGGAAGGACCTGCAATAACGCTCAGTCCCACACTTAGGGTGAAGCAGTATATCACTGATGGAGCTGCCCAGTGCTGTCAGAGTCTCGTGCATGGGGTGGGCTTCCTTCTCAAGCCGGGCTGTTAGCTGTTGTTGATGTTAAACACCCACTCCACTCAAAGATGTGTTTGTTCTTATTTTTATAAGCATCATCCCTCCAACGTACTCACTGTTGTAGGTGCATAGTTTGTTACTAACAGGCTGTTAGTACCTGTTTCCTTCCAAAAAACCCTGAGTTTGAAAGAGGCTTGGACAGACTGAATTTGTGATGCCACACATTTGGACAACCAAATATGGTCCACGAGTTTTCCGGAGTTCAGGAGAAACCTGAAACCTCTGGTCTCGGCAGCCAGAACTAACATTTCAGCACCAAGAAGCGAAAGTTGTATGTGTATCAAATATGCTGGAGTGCACAGTATTTGGATGTAAAACAGACCCCGGAGCTTCTTTACACTATTTATATAATTATTTAGTTAACACTATGAGATGGTATGAGACACTTTCTGCTATGGTTTTGGCTTCTGGTAGCAGCCTGAGTGCTGCAGTCAGCCAGCTGCTAATAACACAAGCTTCTGGCATTCTGTTAATGTTACTGAGATCCTATCAAATCTTCTGAGATGGAAAGAGACATGTAACTAGTTACTGGTGTTTAACAACTAAGCTACGTTTGGCTCGCTGCTTGTTTTACTTATACTTTACGTGTCACATTAAATAATGTGCTGCTGTGTTGTTTTCAATGTAATACAGGACACAGATGATTTAGAAATCACTGTTTTCAGTTTTGAATTTGATTTTACATACACCTTTTCACATGACCGTCCACAACTACAGCTACAAACCAGCTCCAGTCTCACAAATGACCATAAGACTAAGTGGACACACTAACAAGTATGCAACCTCAGCATTATAAATAAGCTAGCTGCTATTTACTGCTGTTGCATTTTATTAGCCTGTATTTCTATTTTTCACTTTGCTCCTCTGTAATAGGTTAGCGAGATATATAATATGAGAATAAAATTCAAGTCCGACAGTACAGCAGTGAATACAGCATCAGTTTAATTTCAGTTTGTTTCCCCTTATTTCATCTCTCTGTTATAAAACTTTGAGGTTCTGAGCTCATCACATTGGGAAGCCTACTCTAATGAGTGTGTTCGAATTTCTGAAAAATCTACTATACAACATTATCCTGACAAATAAACAGACTAGCTTACCTCTGACAACTTGACCAGTGTTTGTGCTGGACTCACTGGGAGCTGTGGTCCTAACTCCACTTAGCTGCTGTGCCCCGCCATAGATGCGTACACTTAGATGCCACATGAACATCTGTTATTAAATAACAGCTCGATGCACATGAACCTAGAATGGATTAAGAAGTGATGACATCACAATTGACTCTATAAGGACTGTTTTTTTTTTTTACAGTAATGGCAGCTAATGCTAACGTTGAATAGTTTCAAACATTAGGCACAGCACCATAGAGTTACAATGACTTGACTGTTATCTTCTAAAGTAAGAAGTTGAAATCAATAGCACTAATTATATTTGTGACATTTCTGTTAGTGGCGTATCAAGATATGTTTTACAACCTTTTGACTGTCTCTCAAATATTTTGTCCCTTTAATAGATAGGCACCTAGCTAACAAGCTAAATTAACTGAGATAATCTATAACAACAGAACAGAGTTAGTCTGCAAGACTATACAAATAAAACAATGGATTTAAATTGGCTATTTGGAACTATTTGAAGCTACATGAATCACATGACTGCTGCCACTGCACTTCTTCCACACCCCTGCTGATCTGAGGTTATGAGGCTCATTTCAAAGACAAATCGTGGAGGCTCCCTGTGCAGGTACAACCCAGGATGGGAGCAGGCACATGAGAGGCCCAGTTAGACCCAAAAGGCCAAGTTCTGTAGCACAGAAAGAGTGCAACAAAGAATTAGACAAAACCAGGCTAAACATCGGTTTGGCATGTCAGAGATGGAGAGCATTAAAAGCATCCAAAGGACTAAAATTTGACACAGATGTGTCTTTCTTCATTCTGGGCACAACATAAGAACTGTAGCTGGCTAACGTGTAATTTGGAGTCATTCCAACTGACTGCAACATTAGTGTTTTGTTGTCCAATTAGCAGAAACCAGTGCATTTTCCTGGATTAGGAAATGAAGTAATTTTGCAAATTTTTGCTCCGTTTTGGTCTGCAGTCACATTTTAGTGAGATGCAATGCCACTGAAAACCATGGGCTCTATATTCCATATATATTAATTCTGGAGCTGGTTATTATTGCTGCGCTAATTACATGCCACAACTGTCTCTGGCTGGTGTGACCACATGTGACCTAGTTTCAGAGACAGGGCAGGGGCGGTATATTACTTGAGGTTATTTTGACTCACTTCACCCTTAATGGTTGAAAATTAGAGGGAGAAGTTAGTTAATGCAGTTTTAAGGGCTCTGCACGAGCCACTGCTGACTATTATGACAGTGTGTCAACACAGCACCTAAACATTTATCTATATTAACTATTAGCCTAAGGAGTTTGATAGTTAACACATACTGGTCTTTGATGGGAGTCTGTGGGCAAAGCTGAAACCATCACTGCTCTGCAAATTTATGCACATTTAGCAGGTTTTGATAAATTGCTCTGACTGTTTTTTTTTTTAATTCACTGAGGCTTTATTGCATGTACTGTACAGAGCAGAGGTGCTGTCACCTTGAGTAATATGTTCCACCTGCAACCCCTCTCTCCATCTCAGCATCTCAGTTGTTCTCTGCTCTGTGTGTCCAGGAGCTCAGCACTGCTCTTGGTCCAACAGGCAGAGGATGAACCGCTTCATAAACACCAAAACCATATTTTCCAAACCACTAATCTCACTCACTTGCCTTTTTGAGTCCTGATAAAATGCTCCCTATCCTTACAAAGTGAGAACCAAGCTATTTTCAACACCGAAAAATTACTATCACTTATATTTTTCACTTGCCTGATCAGGCAACTGCACAATGCATTCCACTTGCCTAATATTGAGCCCTGAATGATAAAACAAAAAAACAAAAACAAATAAAAATTATTATCATCATCATTAGGCAAATAAAAAAATCTATCATGTTTGTCGCCTCACAGCAAGAAGGTTCCAGGTTGGAGCCCTGGCCGACCCAGGGCCTTTCTGTGTGGAATCTGAAAGGTTCTCTGTGCCTTTGAGGGTTCTCGCCGGGTATTTCGGCTTCCTCCCTCAATTGATGAGTGACTCTAAATTGCCCGTAGGAGTGGGTGTGGTTGTCTGTCTACATGTCAGCCCTATCATAGACTGGTGACCCCGCCTCTCACCCAATGTCAGCTGGGACCGGCTCACGCCCCCATGACCCTCTTCTGGAATAAGCGGTATAGATAATGGGAAGATAGATGAATGTTTGTGCCACTGTAACTTTGGTTCAGGATCACTTATACTCTGTTGAGAATTACCTTTCACATGAGACCAGGTTCAAACTGTCAGCTAAATGGCTGAAGAACGTTGACATTTTTATTTTGTGTAGATTATTTTTGAGATTGTGTGTGGCAAGAGGTCAAATTTAAGAGTACTTGTAAATCTTTAAAAAACATTTAAAAAGTATCTTTAACCTAAGTCCAGACATTTAACAGTTTGATAAATATAAGCCCAAATGATTAACTCCCCTAAAACACTTAGACAGTATGAAACATGTTCATAAATGACTAGACACCATTTTAAGAGATGGTTTACTTTTCTCCCAGTGTGCCGAGCACCAGAACTCGCCCCTAGTGTCTCCCAGCTCTTCACCTGTCAGCCAACACAGAAAAACCCATGGTGGGGAATCTGGCCACTGCACCCAGCACCTCAGCCTTCCCCCTGTCCCGCCACGACTCGACCTCATTCAGAAAGGTGCCGTCCGCTCCCCATCTGCGAGTCCAGCCGGCTCCCCAAAGGTCAGTCACCACATTACACAGATAAAAAAAACAAATGGGCAACCTGTATCTTCTGGCACAAGATAATAAATATTACATAAAGATGATGTAAAGGAAAAAATATAAACACATTTATTAAAATAGTAAAAAAAAACAAAAAAAAAACCATAAGCAGCACCTCTACATGAAAGCAACACAAAGCCATGAAGTACTTTGATAGCCCGAGTGGCTGCAGAGCATCACTGTTTGAGTTGGTAGACAAAGATGTGGGGTATAACCTTTTCACAGACGGTGATATCAAGTGCTGGAGCTGGAGTCTTGAAAACTTGCTTTTTAAAATTCCTGATGTGGACTCACATTAGCTTTTACAAGTACTTGCTAGTCTTAATGGGGTCTACCTAAAAAGAACAAACATTAAAAAGTCTAAATGGTATGACATGATTAAGATGTAATATTAAATTTCAGTATCTCTCATCTCTCTAGTCTTCACCAGGCATGTCCAGGAAGCAAGACAAACCCCCCCCAGCCCCACCTCCTCCCCAGAGAGACCCCCCTCCACCGCCTCCCCCTGAGCGTCCTCCTCCCATACCCCCAGAGTCACGCCACTCTTGGCTGCCCAGTTCCTCTTCCTCAGCCTCCTCCATGTCAACTTCTATCGCCGCATTGTCAGACGCCCAGATGGTCTCTGAGACACGATGTCCCAAAGACAACCTTTTGGCAGATGCTCATATGACTGGAGCTGAACCCCAGCTTCAGCTTGGATCTGCTGGCCCTACCCACCTGAATGGAAGACCGCTCAGTTGTCCATCTGCAGGGTTTGGGAGGTTACTACATAAAATGGAGGGGGCAGGAAACTCAGAGAGCTCTAAGGTAGGCCTTACATTTGGGATAAGCTGGGATACATATGGAACAGCCTTTTTATTAGCTCCACCAAGGGCAGCAGTTATGCTTTTGCTGATGTTTGTTTGTTTGTTAATATATGCATAACTCAAAACTAATGAATGGATTTTGATGACATTTTTTGGAGAGGCAGGGTGTGGCCCACAGAACAGCTGATTAGATTTTGGTGCTGATCTGTATCATAATTTGGATACAGGAATATTTTAGAAGATTATTCACTATTGTGAGTGCTGGAAAAGCTGCTGACTGTATATTCAAGATTCAATATTTTTTTATTTTATTTGCCATTTATGCATAAAAAGACAGTCTAGGCATACAGGAATTCTTGTGCAGGTCTCCTTTGGAGTCAGGTAAGGAGTCAAAAGCCAGAAAGAGTCTTAAAATAGAAAAGTTACATAAGGCAACAAAGCATTAAAAACTGCAATACACAAAAATAGGGTAATAGTATTTCCCACAGTGAACTTCAAACATTGCACTTAGTAATTCACATGGTGGAGCTGAATAAGTCATTATGCTTAGTGAGGTAGTAAGGGGTTATTGCACATATATTCTCACATTTTCGTATTTGCCATCAGTCTCACTGCAGCAGGGGAAAAGCTGTTGTAAAGTCTTGTTCTGTGTGTGATGATACTGTCTGCCCTGCTGTGCCTGAGGCTGCAGGTGCAGTTTTTGTTTCTGAGCAGAGTGTGAGCTGGGTGGCGTGGATCCCTGATTATGTTCTCTGCCCTTTTACAACAGCCCTGTGTATACAGTGTGTCCATAGCAGGCAGTTCAGTCCCAATGATCCCCTCTGCTGTCTTTATGACCATTTGAAGAGCCTTCCTCTCTGCCTGTGTGGTGTTACCATACCAGACTGTGATGCCAGTAGTGAGGATGCTCTCTACCAGTCCTCTATAAGCCTGGGTGTATAGTTGCTTTCGTCAACGAAAATTATGACTAAATATTGTCGTCAATGAACCTTTATCGAGTGACGAAAACGAGACGAGACGCAACGAAAATGCTGGTCGTGTGACGATGACTATAATTAAATGTATAATGCAATATTGTTGATGAAAAAACTAGACTAAATGTGGTTCACAAAATAAAAACTATGCCAAAATGTCCCTTTATTTTCGTTGACCAAAACGAAATGAAATGTTATGTTATTTCATCTCAGTCAGTCGCGTTATTATTATTATTTTGCAGCATATCTGTTTCGCGGCATTATTTAGAAGACGACAACAAAGTTAAGTCGGACACAGAGAAAGGGACCGATGGCTGGCCAGCCGGGGTTCGTCATTGGGAGACAAAGAAGAAACGACATTTAGAAAAACTTTAATTACATAGAAGTGGAAAAGAAAAC